GGGCTTGTGCCATCAGCGTGGTGGTTGGATTGGGTGGAACTCAAGCGTCCGCCCGACTGAATGTCCAACTTAAACAACCGCTGTTCCACTTTGTACCACGAGATGGGCACGTGAATCCATCGATCCACTCGGATAATGTAGGTTTCTGAGGCCAAGTGTGGAATGTGGTTGGCTTTCTACCCAGCCATTGAAGTGATCTATCAATTGGTATGGTTTGGCTTCCATTTCCTAGCCGAGTTTTATTGGTCACAACACTCGCTAAACGATAACAATCATTCCATGCCCTCGTCCAGTTCCGCGGACTACTCCATACCGCTGCGTTCACACAGTGAAAGCTACGGTCCTCTTCCTGGGGGCACAACAAATGGATCAGAGAGGTTCGTTTTTGAACGAATGGATGACTACTCAAACTCCATATCGTTAACCGTGGAGGATGGGTCTAAAGATGCCGACGATTTGGACAATAAGGATCCCCGAAATGAAGACGAGGATTCGTCCTTCCTCCTTATTGACAATTCAAAATTGGTCAGATTTGACCAACGTCCACGAAAAGCTTTCACCTTTAAGTATCACGGCACAAGGTCGTCAGTTCCATCCTCATCACATCGATCCCCTGCAAAAGGTTTTCCAAATCGGAACTACTTGACGAAACCGGAGAAGCCTGTTCATCGAGATGCAGGCTACACCAAAGTCCACAAGGGTCCAGATCAGATTCATACTTTGCCTCAGCGTATGCAGTCTAGAACATTGTTTCAGGAGTCACTTCGTCCTCCACATTCAACGGTGGAATCGTCAGACGACATGCCAACACCAAGAATGCGTCAGGCGTTGGGTCGTGTCGATACCTCTTCGAAGGACATCTTTGAATCCATCCAACAGGATTTGAAACAACTTGAGTCATTTAGGTGTCATGATTCTCTCTGTGAAAGTCGACCTCATCGAAAGTGGTTTCCTGATTTTGAGAATTCTCCCCGCGAACACTACTCGAATCCTCTGTCGGAGTCGTCAAGGTCGACCTCATCTGATAGACCGGAACGAAGATGGGGTAAGGGTACGCCTTGCTTTCGTAAATGACCAACAGTTCTTTTTACTTTGTCCTCCTCTTCCTCCTCCAATCTCCATTCCCTTATGTTTAATCAATTTAGTTTGGCCTTCCACATTTATATGACCTCTCTTGGTTTGGCTTATGCAATTTTATTAAAGTTGTTTATTTTTAAAATTGAAGAATTAGGTGTGGATGTGGGCCTGCAGGATATCTGTGTCTTTTAGCACACTTCCACGATGGAGTTCTTGCATTTACACTGCGGGAAGGCGGCTGGTTCAGGCTTTGACCAGCAGTCCGAAAGGCCAAGTTAATGTCCGGTTCTGGTTTGGGAAAGAGAATGAAGGGCTACTAAGTTGGAGGCACAAGGGCCAATGTTTGAAGGAGGATCGCTGTGTATTGACAGGAATTTAGAATTTGGAGCAGTCAGAACCCATCATGCTTATGTCACACCCTTTGTTTAGCCTCTGTAATGTGTGTGTTGGGCCGATGACTCATGAGGGCATGGTGAGAATGCGTGACTGGCTGCCTACGGCCCGCATCTGATAAGGTCGTTGTTGTTCTCACCTTGGAAAGCCATGCTAAAGACCCCAAAGAATTGGATATTCTCCAAGGTGACAGCTTTGCCGGTTTTGTCACGCAGCTTTCTCGTTTAATTATCGCAATACCAACTGGTGTTCGACTCAGGCTCTTTGTCCTGACCATTCATTTATAGGTAACTTTTCTAGCACATTCACTTTGTTGACGGAAAAGAGGGGCTTTGACACCCAACAAAAATGAGAATTTGGGGATTTAGAAGGCAGTTGCTGAATAATCACGAGCGCGTCTTCTGATTGGTTGATTTGCGTCCCAATTGACACGTGGCGCTTTTGGCACGCGTCTTTAACGTTAGCTTTTACAAATCGCCCGGCCGTTACCTCCGTTAGTGTGCGTTCACAGCCTCCCAGAGGGGCTAAAAAGGTCTCGCTACTGCGAGGCCTAAATGCCTTCCTATTGGTAAGACCTTATGCTGTCAAACTAAAGGCTGAGAAGGGGGCAAACAGAGAGACTGAACATTCAACCTCTCCTGTTGCCTTTATGGCACCGGACGC